GAGGAGAGTTGTATTAAGTCATATAAAGTCAAACTCTTGAGAGTGCTCCCAACCCTCCCCTCCACAAACCAGAGAGTCCTGCGAACCTTTCAATAAGCCATCCACCCCCACCCCCTAAATTTATACTATCAAAAATACACTGGTTTCTGCCGGTCTGCCTCTCTGCTAAAAGCAAAACTTAACTCAAGCCCCGCTTCGCGGAGCTTTCGTGACTTGCCACAGAAATCTTCACGAATCCTCGGACTGATAAGTGCTGTACGAAGAATGCCTTGCATCATCTTCTCATCACAACATTCGGAAGAATTGTGTTGCCACCCGCCTAGCTGACTGGTACGCGAACATCATAGTCTCATATACCCTGGTCCTTCTCTTGCATTTCTTCATGCAGCTGCAGTGAGTACAGGTACTTCCTTCGAGCACAGATTTCAGCAATTCGCGATGTATCTCATGGGTGTGGTGCCTCGCTCGATTGCACACTGAAGCCACCGCACCATAAGCGACCACGTTTGGCAGCACCTGGCGCAGTGAAGCACATCCTAATCTCTCATAATTCATAACAAGCTTTGCGACAACATCTCTCATAACAAGCTTTGCGACAACCACGGAAAGCAAGTCGGAAAGCATAGATGACGGAAAGCAAGCTTCCACTCGGCATCAATGTCTCTTCGCTTCTCATGCCCAGCCGTGGCTGGGAGGGAGCCGGTTTGTGGTGCGGGCAGGGTTGCATCGGGGCCAGCATCACGAGCATCTCTGCCATGTCTGCCTCTGGAAGGCAGGCTTTCGTTGCACGCCCGCGGCATCCAGCTTTTCACGACTCACGTTTGCAAGCCCATGTATCTCAAGACTGTCAAGACTCTTGCGGCAAGCTTTCATCTTAGTATCTTGAAACAAGGCTTGGGGAAAGACGAGGTTTGCATGCTGGCGGGCGGAAGTGGTTGGGAGCCGGCGGAGCCGCATCCTGAGCATTGTTCCGCTCCTCCGAAGCATGTGAGCATAGGATCTGGGCGGGGTGCCGTGGGACGGACGGAGAAACCTGGGCGGGGAGTGGCCCGCAGGATCGCCGTGTGCTGAGCATGGGACGTTCTGGCCAGTATGAGTCACCATGGGAACCGCCATTCGCTCTCACTTAGCTGCAGCAACACGCCTCCCGGGCTGGCATTTCGCGAAGAAGCCATAAGGCACGCTGCCAATTGAAAGTCGTGATTACGCCGCCATAGAGGATTACCTGCACTGGAAGAATCGTTTCATGTCCAACTGCCTGATGGCAAAGTAGACTGCATCCAGGAGCCTTATTCTTCTCCGATTTGTCGGCACCCGTGCGCTCCATTTCATGCAAGAACCAGAGGGCATAGCGCCACCTTAGCAACGAAGCGAATCTAGACCATGCCCTGATCGAAAGGGTGGCATGTTTGACAATTCCAGGCGAGGCGGCATATTATGGTTTCCTGAGTGTATACGCCAGGCTGCTGCTTGGCCCGGACACAGGCCGAAATGAGAGTTGCATACGTCACCCCCTTCACAGGAAGCTGTCGCGCCTGCTTCCAAGAATGGCTTCCACATCGTAGTGTTTTGCAAAATTCTACAGCGGACAATGCGCCTGCATTTCATTGAGCACTTCCTGAGCTCGTAGCTCAAACGGCTTTGCAGCTTGCGAAGAAAACAAGACACGTGCTTGACCTGCCCCGGCAACAAGTTCATGCAATGCTTTGTTGAAGCAATACTGGCGGATGCCAAGGCTCCGTTGCCAACTGCCACTTGCCACCTCCGGAACATGCAAAGATGCCTTCCTCGAAGCTGGCTGCATCATCTCGAGAAACCTCCTGGTGAGTAAACAATAGCTCCATGTGCAACACATAGTGCGCAGAAATGGCAAGTTTGGAGCTCCTCCTTCAACAGGACAAGGGCCTGTTCCCAGTGGCAGGCAGCTTGAAATGCACCTCAAATTCGGGGGCTTTGCTGGCTATCCAACACGACAACCCAAACACGGTCGCTCGATTTGCTGTCCCAGGAACGCATGCAACTGAGGTGCATTTGGGGCCTCGCTTGCAAGCCAAGAGATATTGAAGCTGCGTGCTTTTTCTTTCTCTTGGCAATGGGGCTCGTACCTCTTACCTCAAACCCCTTTGTGGGAGGCACCCCCCTTTGGCTGTGAGCTTAGCCGGGTACATTTGTCTCTTTGTCCTTACTCCGGGCCTTTTCGAGGGGGCACTGGCCGGTCTTTCTCTCTTTCTTTCTCAATCTCTCTCTCTTTTTCTTCCACACAATCAAAGGAGCTGTACGCCCCCTCGCGCGCGCACCCGCCCCGCTTGTCTCTCTCTCTTTCTTTCGCCAG